CTCTCCTCAAGCTCATTTGTATTTTATACTTGTTGAGGTATTTTTTTTTTGGGATCATCTTTTCCTTCATACTTCAAAATCTTTATGAGCATGAATTTGGGGGCATCGAGAAGTTGTGAAGTTCTTGAGAGAAATGAGGTTGTCATCGTCATCATCAAGTTCATACGGTCAGCGCGGCCCTTTAGAGTCGTTCCCATCTGCTTCATGTCGAGGCTATGGTTGGGATGCCTTTCCTTGATTTTTCCAATCCACTAAATTTTGTCTCTCAGCCTATTCCTAGGAGGGGGAGGCCCTACTCCCTGATTCTATTCTTATTCTTGTTGAGTCGTTTGGCATATAGATTGGTTTATACTCCTTAGATTTTGCCCTATCCTATCGAACACCCTAATAAACCTCTGTGGTTTATAATTCAGGAGGAAGTTCTCTCATAATTGGGGATTGGTCGCAAGGGCCCCACAATGTATGACGTTCGACGGTTGGAGTGGCTTTGATTTTGGGCCTCTTAGGTTGGTCATAGGCTATCTAGGGCCTCTCCATAGACATTTGGAAACCACTTTGACCCTGAACTTGCGTGAGGAGCTTGTGCATTGCAGCATTCTTTGCTACGATATTTCTCATGTTAGTAGCCATTTAGGCTACTTCAACAGTTAATCTCGCAGGTGCCTTTTCGCCTAAACGACAACGATGGTGAGGTCTCTAGCAAGTGACCTTGATTCAGATGACCTCTTTTTCATAGGCCTCCCACACTCTTCTAGGATTAATGTCTTCGTTACTAGAACTCATTGGATTTGTTCTTCTACTCCTTCCAACAATCTAAAAGATAGGATTCCGGCCAACTTTCACTTATTCTTTACTCAAGAACAAAACATTTCTTCAAAGGAAAAGTTTTTTTGGCTTTCTTGGTAAGCTTTTCCAATAGTAGTCAAGTGATCAAAATAACAATATTGTGATAGAGTTTTTCACAAATATCGACAATCTGTTGACCACAAAAAATGGACCTCTATGTGGTCAATAGAGAGCAACTCCACATATATTCGTCCATGCACACTTGGAGCAAAAGGACAGTAGTTTGTGGTCATTCCCAGCGATGATGGTTGCGGCCACGAACACCCCGACGATCAAGTTAGTGGAATATTATCTTGTACAACTAATTCCAGTAATGAAGATCATCGGACCCTTTTTTAAATTTTCTCAAAGAAGGAGGAGAAATGTTTGTAAGCTAGTCACATCAAAGTTAATTTCATCAAAAAGGAAAATTTGCTCTTCATAATTTTTGGGATTGGACAAAACTCCTGGATCGAATCAAGCCTGAATCAATCCGAGCAATTCTTCTGAAGTTAAATATTCGAATGAATATCAAAATTGAGAACCGACAAGTTTAATTTGGTACTTAGTTTTAGATGAAGAATCGAATGAGAATTGAATCTCTTTAATTTTTTATTTTTTAAATTAAATAAGCCAAATTATTTTAATTTTTAAAATAAATTTGCGAACTAATTAATTGAGTCCAAAAATATCATTTTACTGTTTCATTTGCCAACTATTTTAATGAAACCTAAAATATTATTTTCCTAACTTCAGCCTAAACCTAACTTTGTAATTCAAATTTTAGAGAATCAAAATTAAGTGACTTCATATTTTCTCAATCATTTTTCAGTTTTTCGAATCTCTTCATCTTACCAATTTTTTCTACCATATTCATTAAATATCTCAACTTCAATCAAGGTAAGATTCATCTTATTTCTTTTCAATGACTTCTCAAGCTCAATATATAAATATTAATACTATTTAACTCCATTGAGATTACAACCCCACTCTATGTGCCGTTAATGTGACATTAAATAATAAGTGAAATTAAATGACTTATTTAATTCCACATTTCATTTAGTCTATCATCTGGCGTCATTTAGATTGAGATTGCAATTTTCATGGGGCTATGTAGCATTATTCTAATTTATAACTAGTTTTCAAGATATTTATTGTGAGCTCGCCTTGGCATGTTTTCCTTTCTCTCAATAGCTACCTTATCGTATTTTTTATTTTTATCCTTCTTGACTAAATATTTTCACCTTTCTTTTAGTATGCTTTCCATGTTAAACATACTGTTAGTTGGATTAATGTAGTTTTTTTGTAAATATTAAAAAATTTAATTATGTTACCGAACTGAACCGAACCGAACCAAATCAATTCGTTTCCATAATTAAATTTAGACTCAACAATTTTACTTACTAAGTACCCAAAATTTTTGAACCATGTCCAGTTCTAATAATTTTGCATAGTTTTACAAAGAAAATTGAAGGTTGTTGGACTGTCAAACAAAGGAAGAATTTTATTACTTCACTGTTTTTTTATTTTTTAAGAAAATCAAAGCTATGTACGGTCAAGTAGTAAAGTTCACTTTCTTGTATTGTTTTCCTAACGATTATTAGTTTATTATAAAATGCAAGTCTTGATTCTATAGCTAGGCATTCGATCCTCTATAGAAATGAATGTTTACGTGTTGAAATTCATATAAGAAATGTTATGTTTTTAGTAACAATCAAGGTTAAAAAATCTGGGTCATTACACAAGTGTAAATTTTGTTTCACCACTAATTTGTCAATAAATATGTGAAACAAAGCAATATTGTTTCCCTATGTTGGTTAAAAGAAACCTCGTTAAAACATGTTGGTAAATGAAGGTCATTGATCATCGTCATTTAGACCACGTCGATAATTTGTTAGTAATCAATAATTCATCACTAAAACTTGTGATATGTTGAAACAAACAGTACTAACTTGACAATATAGGGTAGGCCATGTCCCACTTGGGCCGTATTGGGCACTAGGCGTGCTTTATATGACAGTTTTCATTAATGCACTAGCATGAAGAGAAAAAGACTAACTGCATGAGTGATTGCTTAACTACACTTTCGGACTTCAAGTTATGAAGAGTGATGATGAAAAATGGGGTAATTGGTACAAAATGTCCTTATCTTTAAGTTTATTGTGGAAAACGTTCATACCTTTCATTTTTTAACATTTTTGCCCTTACCTTTCACCTTTCTTTGCCTTGGACATCATTTTCACCAATTTTTAACTTAAAATAAGCAATATACCCTCCTATTTAAATAAACAAAAAAGAATAAATTGCAGCTATAGATCCAAACTTTTTAAAAAGTGCAAATTAGTCCAAATAAATTATTAAAATATTAAAAATAACAATTTTAAGAAAAAAACTCATTCTCAATCCTCTTTACCTCCCCTTCCTTACGCCTCAACTATCGTCACCGCAGCCAAAACCACCAGAGCTCACGCCACAAACTGCTGCCATCAACCTCAAACACTTATGATATAAATTTGATACAAATACTACTTAATTTAAAAGGGATCTAAACCCGTATGCTTCGAACTATTCCAAAATCACTTGCATGATTCGTGCAAAATTATTGAAGACCCATAGTTGTAATAGTTTCATCATGATGAGAGTGTACTGAATATGGTGTTCCGTGATCATGATGTCCACCACAGTCGTCGAAATTTCACCTGAAACCTGCATGATGACTGTGTTCGAAATGTTTGGTTTTAGCTATTGATTGGGTGGTTGTGTAGGTGTTTGGGGACAATGGTTATGCATCATGATAAGTGGAATCTACCAATATGTTGGGCTTGGGTTGGGAGTTGTCGAAAAAGGAGCTGTCGGCAGTTTTGGTTTATGTAACTGGCAAATTTTGGAGAGAAATTTCGGTCAATTCACCTGGAGTTAGGGCCAACTGTTGGGTGGGTTGTGTAGATGATAGTAAGGGCTTCAAGTTGGTACTATGATCCGATGGCCATGGTAGCCGAAATGTGGTGAAAATCATAGCTAGGTGGGGGAGGGGAGGGGAGGGGGGGGACGAGAGAGAGAGAGAGAGAGAGTTTTTTAATATTTTTATAATTTATTTGGACTAATTTGTACTTTTTTAAAAATTTGGGCCTATATTTACTATTTATTCTTTATTCTTCCTTTCTTTTTTCTTGTTTTATTTAAATATGAGGGTATATTGATCATTTTACGTTAAAAATTGATGAAAATGACATCTAGCGCAAAGAAAGATGACAGATAGAGGCGAAAGTGCCAAAAAATGAAAGATGATGATATTTTCTATAATAGACTTGAAAGGTAGTGACTTTTTTTTTTTTTCCAATTACCCTTAAAAATATGACGATTCCAATAGTACCATCTTCATGACTATTCATTTGCTGAAAGAGGGTAAAATTAATATAAATTATCATAGACCCCCAATTGTTGGATCTTATACTCCACAAAAAATAGGAAATTCCTCATATTTTGACCATTTCAAAGTGAAAAATGGGATTGCTTCCTCGGTAAAATTTGAATAAAGTTGAGCCGAAAGTACTATATTCAAAATAAATTCGTAAGGCACCCAGATTAAATATCTTATTGTGTGAATTTGTAATTGAAAATGATCTTATAGCAGTAAAATAAAGTAACAGGTGTCAAATAGGGCTTATTTCTTCATTTTTTAAAAAAATTAAAAATCAAAGCAATGTACGGTCAAGTAGTAAAGTTCACTTTGTTGTATTATTTTCATAGACTATTGAATTATTATAAAATGTAAGTCTTGCGAAATTCTGTAGCTAGGCATTCGATGATCTACAGAAATGATATGTTGAAATTCACATAAGATACGTTTTTATTAACAATCTAGTTTAAAAATCTGGGGCATTACCCAAGTCTAATGTTTTGTTTCACCACTAATTTATTTATAAATATGGGAAACATAGCCACATTGTTTCCCTATGTTGGTTAAAAGAAAACTCGTAAAACATGCTCGTAAACGACGGTATGATCATCATCATTTGGACCATATAGATAATTTGTTAGTAATCGATATACCATTACTAAAACCTGTGATCTGTTGAAATAGACAATACTGAAATAGGTAGGTCGTGTCCTACCTTGGCCGCGTTGGGGGCCTAGGTGTGCTTTATATGACAGTTTTCATTAATGCACTAGCATGAAGAGAAAAAGACTAACTGCAAGAGTGATTTTTTAACTACACTTTGATAGAATTACTTTGGTGAAGATACTGCAAAACGAAGTTGATCACGTGAAGAAGAAGAAGAATGAAAGTAGAGTACAATTACTGATATATCATCTATTGCTATTCCCTTTCTCTTCTTCTTCCATGCATGGACGGCACAGTCTACTAGACGCCTACCTGATTTCACCCTGTCTGGAGTTGATGACACAATTTGCACGGCTTCTTCATTGGATATAACGTCCCATACCTGCATTATATCAAACCCAGATTTCACCATCAGCATCAATCACTGTTCTTTAAATGATTTTTACAATGAAACTTCACTAATGGAATTATTTGGTACCAAGATTATGGAAGAAAAGAAACTCAAATCTTCACTGGAATGTCCAGTGCCACCCAATACTGTGTACCAAACATTCCCACTAATTCAATATACCGAATGTTATGTGAATACTTTGTGCTTTGTGAATCAATAGAGAGAGAGTCGATTTGGAATTTACAATGATTTAAGCCAGCCATATTAATCTCATGAGTTCAAATTAAACACATAGATCAATTTGTGATATTCTCGAGTGTTACATACTTTCAGAGAAGAAAATATGCATATTGCCTTCATCTTTTAGGTTTCTTCGCAAACTTACTAGTTCAGATTTACCGTTTCAATTATTATATTATGTTTGGCCACGAAATCGATTAATTAAGTATCATACTTACCCCGTCTGTTGCTAGCACGACAAACTGATCTTTACTTGTTATATGTCTCTGTGTCACTTCAGGGACAGAAACTAGACCATAATCCTTAACACAATAGTCCCCAAAAGCTCTAGACGTTGCTAGTCCAGGTGATTCCTCATCCGGCAACCACAGTCTGTGAACCCCTGGCTCATCATGCAAACAGAAAACTCGACCTTTGCATTGAATTATGCGTTCAGCCTCCTCTGGGAACATTGTTAGCAGAGTTATATAATGGATAGAGATCGAATTAGGAATAGAGAAAGACACACATGTGCTCAGAGAGAGAGGTAGACTAACGAGGTAGATTCGGCTTGAAGTCAATAGTAAGCTGTACTGGTACCAAGTTACCAGTTTCAGACGTGGTGGCCAGTACAGCACGTGAATCGCCAACATTTGCAATAAAAATATACTCGCCCTGACAGAAATAAATAGAGATTTATTTTAGTAATACAGAAAATAAATTGAGGAAAATGTTTTCAAATATTCCAGATAAACCACCTTATGTAAATAAGACCTTTAGCACCAATATATTAGGCAGGTGAATTGTAACTCATCAAAAGCAGTGAAATGGCCAACATAAGGCATAGGTTTCTCAAATTCAAAATTGACAACCATTTTCATTTAGCACGTGCTAGATATTTTAAATTTGGAGAAGGGAATGCTGAATTTTATATGGTCGAGAATGCTTCCCATTTCTTTATCTAAGATGGCAAATCTTATATTTTCTTGATTTCTGTTTAATGAGAAACTGGTTTTTCAGCATCTGCCATTTGATAATCAAACAATACTTTGTGAAAGATCGCGTTTTATGCTATCATTTCTTGGTAACATCAAGATATCAGAAAGTTCTCCATTTACATATAAATTGTCATATAGATATAGTTAAATGACAGATAAAGGAACTTCTATTACCTGCCTAACAATTGTCAAAGCAGTAGTGCCACTGTAGAATGAGTCGATTTTTCGGTGCCGTTCCAGCTCCTGATCTATAGAAGCACATGTCTTCAAGTAGGAATGCTTCCATATATTGAATTTATGAAGCTTTTTATCAGATTCCAAATCAAAATCGGGATCAAGTGAAGCTTCAACAAGCGTCTCCTGCCAGTTACAGAGAAGAGACGATGGCATCGACTCCCTAACCCTCTTGGCCACAAAATGTCCCCAAGGGCCATGTCCATCAAATATCCCACAGAATATCATGTCCTCTTGGCATCCAAATTCCTGCAAACGAAAATCCCTAAGAAATGTTGATATTGAGGCTACTAAGCCCCCGCCCCATTAATTTTCATTCTATTACATTTTATTTTTCTTTCTCCTATTTTCAACCACTCAATCTTTCATAAAATAATATTACACGTAAATAAAAAAAATTTACTTTCTTTTCAACCACTCAATTTTCAAAAAAATACTATTTCACCCATTTTCATTTTCACTGGGTGTCAAACGGGGGCTAAATTGTCTATTGTAAAGCATACTGTTGACGATATAAACTAAATAAATATGTTCTTCCCCGCTCTAAAAACTATAATTGTTCAAGCCTTTGATGAAAAAATGAATCTATATGCTCGTGAAGGGCGTGTTAAATACATAATTTAGATGAATAAGGTTTTTCCACTCTCTAATAAATTAAACTTTTGGATGCGGCAGATCAACACATACCTCCCAAACAATGCAGCGATCTTGATTCACGCCTTTCTGCCCTCTTTTCGAGAAAACAGAAGCAAAATTATGGGATCCTTCGACATTAACAGTGCCTGACGTCGTCAACATCAACTCATTCTTCTTCGAATCCTTCGCCATATCTTTTACAGCCTCTCTTCCATCACAATTCTCACAACTGCCCTTCAAACTATTAGTTTTATTTTTTGAAATCGATCTCGAAAATCCACTGAAAATCGACGATAAACGACTCATTATCACACCACCTCCACTACCCTATAACCTGCACAGACACAACTCTTTATCTTCAGACTCAGAGCCTGTTCAAATCACATAAGTAGATAGACATTTTATAATTGGAGCATGACCATATAAATAATAGAGCAAAACTAGATAATTTTTCGAACAAAAAAAGATGAATCTGGAATTGTATAAAGAAATTTTTTAACTGTGTAGGAAACTAGATAATCTTCAAATCTTTCATGGAATCCAATAATACTACATGTACGTCAGCATGTTCTCTTTCTTAGAAATTGACAGAGAATGAACCTACTACAGACATCAAATTCCTAATTAATATTTTAAACCAAACAACCATGCCAGGACAATCAAGATTGCATTTTAAATTCATCCCAGAATTTCGAAAATTACTGCATCATAAATGAAGCATGTTAATGAACGAGGGACCATATTTTTCCAGTTTTCTTCATGTTCACCAAACAAACCCAGAAATTAATTGCTAAAATAAAAAAATAAAAGAAAGGACCTTAAAAATTGTTGGAAAGTGAGTTGACATTAAGAAACCGGGATATTACTTGCCTAAAAATGATGATGGGATTCCAAGAAGTTAGAGAAACCCACTATCCATTATTTGGTTTAGATACATTATCACACCACCTCCACTACCCTATAACCTGCACAGACACAACTCTTTATCTTCAGACTCAGAGCCTGTTCAAATCACATAAGTAGATAGACATTTTATAATTGGAGCATGACCATATAAATAATAGAGCAAAACTAGATAATTTTTCGAACAAAAAAAGATGAATCTGGAATTGTATAAAGAAATTTTTTAACTGTGTAGGAAACTAGATAATCTTCAAATCTTTCATGGAATCCAATAATACTACATGTACGTCAGCATGTTCTCTTTCTTAGAAATTGACAGAGAATGAACCTACTACAGACATCAAATTCCTAATTAATATTTTAAACCAAACAACCATGCCAGGACAATCAAGATTGCATTTTAAATTCATCCCAGAATTTCGAAAATTACTGCATCATAAATGAAGCATGTTAATGAACGAGGGACCATATTTTTCCAGTTTTCTTCATGTTCACCAAACAAACCCAGAAAAAAATTGCTAAAAAAAAAAAAAAAAAAAGACCTTAAAAATTGTTGGAAAGTGAGTTGAAATTAAGAAACTGGGATATTACTTGCCTAAAAATGATGATGAGATTCCAAGAAGTTAGAGAAACCCACTATCCATTATTTGGTTTAGATATTTTTGAATGTTCAAGATCTGAGAAAATATATATAGACATACAAAGTGTCGTATATATACGTGTGGGGATAAGCCACTTCTATAAAGGTTGGTTGTGTCATAGGTTGTCATGCACTGGTCAAACTCTCGGCGATCGAGTAATATATGACCAATTGTAAGGTTCGCCTGTTGAAGCAGGGATTAATTAAACAAATTTTTTACCATACTATTGAGGTCGGAGTGATTTTTCACTCCAAAAAATTGATTTTTTGATCGTTATTTTACTATTTTAACCGTAATTTTTTTCTTCTTTCACAGGTGGCCTCCACTTTTCTCCTAACAATCAAAAAATGAATTTTCAAAATCACTACCGAACAGGCCCTAAATATAAATTTATAAACTCAGTCCAAATCAAAGATTAATTTTTACCTCATATTTATAATTATTACTCATTATTATTCACAATTTTATTTTTTTTAAACTCGCTATTATTCATCTTCATAAATCATTTACAAATTTACCAAAGAAAGGTTTAGCCCCTATTTAATTAAGCTATAACGGTAGATTAAAATATAAATCAAAAGTTAATAATTAATTATAATCATATATCTCATAGAACTTACAACTCTTCAATCGCACATTCCACCAACTTTTCTCAATTTTCTAAGAATCGGATTTTTATCAAAATCAGACAAGAAGGTAGTATGATACGAATTGATAGATGTCAGTGTGCCTACGTTTTTAAGCATCTTACGTATTTGTTCGAATTTCTGTTACTAAAATAAACTTCATGAAAAAGGGTCCTCTAATTGCGTCCTAGTTGTCTTTATAATTTTCCCTTTAAATATTTCTCACTATGGCAACTCTCTAATTAATTGGTCATGACAAATTAGTTATCCACTCGATTGATTTGATTTTATCACATTGTAGGTATATGATAAGATATAGTATGATAAATAATTCAATTTGTACTTAATAAAGTTAAATAATATATATATATATATAGAAGAGGTATCAAAAAGATAATAGGGGAGTTTTTTTTTTTTTTTTTTTTTGTTGGAAAAATTTTGATTCAATCATATCTCACCATGTCATATGATTAAAATCATTATGTACATATAGTGCAATTGTTATTAAATAATTCTAATACTCGCCAAAATATATTGTACTGGAATTAATAATTAAATTCTATTCTGTTTTTGTTATATTTAACAATAATCATCTAAGAAACAAAATCACAATTCTAAATTAATAGTTTAAGATTCATACCCGTCGAACGCATCTTGAATGCAAATATTAACCCTAAATCTTCATCTCCTTACTTCTCACAAAATATTAATTATCAATGAGACAAGCCGATAAAAACATATGAAGAGGAGAGGGGACCTAACCTTTTATATAGAAAATTATTGGATTTCCAATTAACAACTCCAATCTTAATTAGGGTTCAAATATTTCTGACCTATATACTTAAATTACCACATTACATCTATATAGGATATAACCCTATATAACTAAGGTGTAAAACGGCTCAAATAGTCACTCAATATATCGAGCTTAACCGTAGCATCATTATGAGCTATACATCAAACCTGTTTTATAAAACATAAAATTTGCAATCAAATGGAAAGTCCATATTTTAAAATTAATCGAACATTCTTTCACTTAGACAAACATTTGATTGCTATTAAATGATAAAACAAAACTTTTGACTCTTGAGTTAGACTACATAGATAGCTACACATATATAGCTCCAATGATAACGCCTTAAACAACACGATCGGGTCTAACAGGAATATCAACATCGAAATTGGAAGTCGTTACACCATTTAAACGATATAAGACCACTCCACAACTACAAATGCTAACATCCTTATCTATAAGGATCTCAATCCTCCAACCAATGTGATAGTATGTAGTATGAATTTAACACAAAATAATGTCATAATAAAAAAAATAAGCCAAATGCATGTTGAAAATAATTTATTGATAAGGAAAAATATATTTTATTATTGGAAAGGTCTGTGCTCGAATAACGTATGATTTGCCTACGTACCCTGCGAATGAATCAAGCCAAAACGTAGTTTTTTTTACATAAATAACTTCCACTAATCAAAAATATCAAAGGTATTCACAATACCAATTTTAGCAACATGTATTTTAAAAACTTTTAAAGCAAGTCTATTTGTCAGGTGTTCTGAAATCATCACATTTGTATTGATATGCCCTATTTTTATCTGTCATTCCTTAACTTTGTCTCTAGTCACCAATTACTTGATGTCAATGTGCTTTGAACCACGAGAAATTTTATTATTCCTTGAAAAGAATATTGTTGCGCTATTATAACAATAAGTAGTAATTGGCCTTGAGATGGAGTCAACAACTTTCAACCCAAAAATAAAATTTCATAACCAAATGACTTAGACTGTAACTCTATAACATGCCACCACAAATTCAACATGTATAGTAGAAGATGCCACTAAAGTCCGCTTAACACTTTTCCAAGAGATAGCATCACCAGCAAACATGGAAATATAACTTGTGGTTGATTTCGAATCATCTTGACATCCAAAAAATCAGAATCTGAGTAGTCTACCACCTCAAGATGATTTGAATGCTAGAAGGGCAATGTAGACTTCATTTCTCTTCGCGATCTTCTAACTTGTAGCTTAGAAACTGACTCAATCGTTGTTAGATGAGGAATTGAAAGTATCTCTTGGTTCCTTAGTTCTTCATTAACAATTTCAACTGGTTGAGATATAACCTTTTCATGTATAATAGGAACTTGGACAACAAAAAATTCCTTCAACGTAGAGCTCCTACTATCACCAAAATCATTCTCTAAATATTTAGCAGTACTAGACTTAACAATTCTGGTTGAAAAAGTAGAAATTATATTCTTTTGATATGTCTGGGTACCCAATAAAGTAACCAGAAGTGGTTTTGGGTCTAATTTCTTTTCAAGAGGATTATAAAGTCTAACCTCAGCTGGACATCCTCAAACTTTGAAATGAGTTAAAATTGGCTTACGTCCTGTCCATAATTCAAAATGTGTTTTTGCAACAACTTTACTTAAAGTCTGTTCAAAATATACATAATAATTTTCATGGCTTCAACCCATAGATATTTCGACAAATTTGCTCTACTCATATGCTCCTAACCATATCCTTTAGAGTTCGATCATATCTTTCAGAAACGACATTCTGCTCGAGTGTCCCTATGATGGTGTATTGAGGCATTATCCCATGCTCTTTGTAAAAAATTTGCAAAATCATCCATGTTTTGACCAGATTCATCATATATTTCATAATACTCAACGTCACGGTCAGATCTTACAACTTTGATACTTTACCCATATTGTTTCTCTACCTCTACTTTGAAAATCTTAAATTTCTCAAGTGCATGGAATTTATCATTAATCAAGCTCACTTCATTCTACTTGACCAAGAATTCAAAGGTACATTTGCAAAGGAAGACTCAAAACAAATTAAGGTCAATGAGATATCTGCAGAACTCTTCTTCTTCTCTAACCAAGTCTTAAATTTAAAATAATCTTCTGCCAATAACCTTTCCTTTTATAGAACTTACATTGATAATTTTTCTTTATAATTCCTTTGGGACCATCAGAAGTCTGACATCCAAAATTTTTATTTTGCTGATTGCGGTGTGACTTATGGCCCTTATGAAACTTAGACTTATGGTTACGAGAAGACTCCTTGTTCTATGATGGTTGGAAAGCTAATTATACAGTTCCAATAATCTCATGTCGCATTCTATACTCCTCTTGGGCACATACTGCAATAAGGTCATTCAAATTTCATTTGTCCCGCTAAGCATTATAAGCAACCTTAAGCTGATTGAATTGGCGAAAAAGACTATTTAGAATATGATAGATCGGGAAAGGCTCCGCAATGAGAATCTTAAGAGCTGAAGGCTTAGATGATATACTTATCATTTTCATAATGTGTTCCCTAACTCCACCTGTACCATCATATTTTTTATTCATTAATTTGTCCATCAAATCTCCAGTTTCAGCTTTATCAGGCTCAACAAATCTCTCTCCTATGGCATCAATTAAATTTTTGGCATTTTCATTGTATGGAATAGCATTCATAATGAAATCGGATATAGAACGCTTAATAATATTCAAACAAAGTCTGTTAGTATTTTCCCACTTTTTATACTCAGCCACATATTCAAGAGTGCCCTTATTTATGGATTTCGAAAGTTACTTCTCCATTGTAAAATTCAAGCCCAAAAGATCAAGTACTATTTCTACATCTCGTTTTCATCTTACATTATTATTTTCAGTAAAGGTTTTAATAGCAGACAATTGACTCGAAAGAGGTGAGAAATTTAAAATTGTGGAATCATAAAATATCATAT